AAATATGCTGTGTTATATTTAAAAATTTTGAGCATTGTACTCATTTGCCATAGACTAACATATATTCAAACGGCGCCCGGATTTTACCCTATTAAATGTACCCTATTCAAATACTATTCGTTACAATTATAAATTGGCGCCGTGGATGTCACTCTTGTGAAACGTCCCGCTCCAAACTTTGTGTCTGAGAAGCGATATTTTTATAGAAAGATGATCTGGCTTTTGTTTTCTGCTCAATGAATGTTTTTCTGCTAGAATTTTGTTCCTGCATACAAAATAATGAACTGGTTTCACCCGTGGTCTCTGCTTTTTGGAAATTTTCCCGATATAATTTTGTATCTGATAATCAAACATGATACAGCAATATCGTCATCATCATTTTTTGACTAAAAATATATAGTTTTAATAATTGATTTATATATTTTTTTAAAATAGCATATCTAAATAGCCTATAATATATATATATATATATTCTTTTACTTATGTATGGAAATTTTGGTTTGAATTTGTATACTGGACATACAGACAGACAAACAGACAAACATACAAACATTCATTTATATATATGTGATATCTTGGGACCTCTGGGACCAGTGTTACCTGATGCTAGACGAACCTCGATGTCAACTCTACCGTGCAGTCGTGGTGGAAGGCGACACAGCTGGGCCAAAGGTGAAATAAACAAACAGAGATTCCACTAAAAAGCGTCTGACGTCAAGAAGGAATGGGATGAGGGGAGAGGGAGATCTTTAGAGCAAGTGTTACCTTGTTGAGAGCCAAGCGTAGACCGACAATTTTTGCTTCTCGATTTAACACCACGACCTGTCTTCTTTCCCATTGGTCGAAAGGTGTCACATGGCCTTTTTCTATTGGTTGACCTATTTAGGTGATTCTTTCTAATTGGTCCTTACTGAGGTCTTGTCGGAAGACACGCCCGATCTTGTCAGGAAGTATTGGGTGTTAGTTCGACTCTTATAACTTCCGCGGTTATCAAATACGTCTTGGGCGTCTCTCAACTTTTATAACTTCTGCGGTCACCAGATACGTCCGGCCTTGTCAGGAAGTATTGACTGTACAAGTTATTAATAATTGTACCCGCTTTAAGCCTACTTCCTATGTCTTGCTGCTACTTTCTGTCCTAAGCCTGATTAGTTTTAACCTTAATTTTCTCCTGTTAGTCTCCATTCCTTCTATCTGTACAGTTGATATACTTTATTAGATTCTTACGCGGTACAGATTGATGTTAGTTGAGGTTTTCTATGTGCAGTACATAAGAAGTTATATACAGTCATGGGGTGGAACATGTGGTAGTAGATATCTAGACTATTTACAACAATTCCATGGTCTTAAATCATCACATATATATATATATTATATATTATTATTCAATATAATTATATTTGTATCTCTCTCAGTTCTTAAATAAATTGCTGTTATACTGAAGTTTGTATTTCCTAATTTTCTACACATTACAATATTAGCGAGAAACACTCTTTTTCTATCTTTTTTTTTTTGAATGATAATAAACTTTTGCTTGATAAACGTGGTCAATTATTTTTTGAAAAAGAGCATCAAGGAAGGTTGAGCCCTATGGTTAACAATAAGAAATTTTTATAAAGTAGAAAAATAAATAAGCGAGATTCGTGCATCCAACATGGGCTCGTTAAACTGTTGTTGCAAGAAAGATGAAGAAGAAGAACCCCAGAAGCCTGAAAATAGTGAAGACAACATCACTACTTTTTTCAAAGAAGAACTATCTTTTTATGACTCCCCAGAAGGCAGCCAAGGCCTCTTAAAAAAACAAAATAGAAAAATAACCTTCTCAAAAAACATCTAAGTGAGATTCTTCAAGTCAAATGAACAACCATTGAAGGTAACTGCGCGGCCATCAAAGATCTTCTTGGAAGATGTGATTTTTGCCAGCGGTAGGATATTCAAGGCAATACCAGCGCCACCACCAAGCCCTGTCAACGAAATGGTAAGTTTTCAACCAGAAGATGAAGAGAAACTGTCATTCTTCTCTGCCGTTGCAGACAAATTGGAAGCTTGCAAAATCCAACAAGACAGAGAAATGGCTGTTCTTCTTGATAAGAAAAGACTGAGGAAGGAACGTCGTAGGCAAAGACGTGAGCTCCATGACCTCAATCTCTCCCAACTTTTTTTGGGAGAACTGAAGAGCTTTGTGAGCATCACGCTGTTTATTTTTATAACAATTAATAGTTAAAATAAAGAAGGCATCTCCTGACCACGAGCACATGTGCTTTTTAGATGGCAGAGCTCCATCTAGTGGAGCAAAAATAAACTAAACGTTTAATTAATAGTTTTAATATTATATAAAATATTATATAAAATTAATAGTTACTAAAGTAATTTATTCTTTAAAATAAAAATACCTTTTATAATTTTTTTCTTATGGATTTTTAGTGTAATGAAGTTTAAACAAAATTTTTGTTTTTGTAGCATAAACGCCCTTAAGGCCTTATGAATTTTATGATCTTTAATTGATATGTGTTATAATTAGTACTAATTTCAGGTATTTGTGTGTTCTAGCACTTCTTCTTTTGCTCTTCAAGTGAAAGTTGATTTCAATTTTTTATATTTACTCATTTTGAATTGGCAATTAGAATCAAAATTAAACAAACATATATAATATATTATATTATATACAACCCCACAGACAACGGCTGATTGCTCCCCCTCCCCTCTAAATTGCTTTTACTCCTCACTCATGTACATATATAACTTTTTAGGGGAATTCCCTTGTAAGACAATAGTGTCTTAATAAAGGTTTTGTTGTTGTTGTATATTATATTATATAATTTATCAAGAAACTTTTTCTTTTTTTTTTTTTTCATTTTAATGGCCTCGATCTTCCAAGATTTGGGGCCCAGAAGACTTCGACTGCGGTGGTGAATAGGAGGAAATAGAAAGAATTCAATTCATCTTGTTGATCGAAGCGATCTTCCAGGCTTATAGGAGTTCATATTCCTTGGACCAGGATTTCTATTCTAGCTGGCAAGGAAAGGAGCTTGTTGGGGAGAGGTGGACTTTTTTCTCACCTTTCCCACTCACTACCTCTAGTGATTTTCCTGGAGCAAAGTGAATTTTGATCGCTTTTTATAAAAAAAAATCATCATTTAGCTCTTCACTTCATAGCTCTCTAGGTATCTTACCAGCCTGTATTTCCAAGGCTTCATAATTGGCATCTCTTCAAGAAATAAAACCAAATAGAAAACGTCCACAGAAAATGTTATTAAGCAACATCAAATGGGGTTCAATGAAAGTTTTAGCCTGAAGAGAAACCCAAGCAATTTTTACCATATAAAGTACCTTTGTGGACTCCAATATCAAATTATGCGAACTCGAGAGTTTGAAATTACATCTTCAAAGCCAAAATAGAGTGTAATTCTCTATTTATCGAAGTAGAGTGTTAAAAAAATCAGGAAGCCCTTTACCTGAAGTTTTCAGAGTATTTTAATTTGATGATATATTTCTTCAATGATTGGATTTTATTTCTAGCAAACAAACTGGTGGACATTTCTCAATACAATGCAACCTGGGAATGACTTCATATATATTTTGACCTCGATGAATATTTTTGACTTTTTAACATCTCGAAATTGGAAAAGATCAAATTTGGAAAATAACTGCCATAATCAAGTTTTATTTGCTACTCCATAATTCTGATATACAGCATTAAAAATAATATAATTAAATTAAATAATAGACTGAAAATAGTTCAAAGAAACACAAATAATTATTCTTTAGAAGATGTTCTGGTATTCATTTTCAAGGATAGAATGGTTAAACAATATGTAAAAATGTTAGTAAAGTGAGAATATTCTGCTGATTCCACGATCCACGATCTCCAAGCCATTGCGTACATCATTAGAACTAAAGTCCAGACGTCCACTGGATATAGTCCCGCTTATCTTCTATATAGCTTCAAACCTACATTTTCTTATTCTTTCCAACCAACAGGAGCATTCGTCCTCTCTACAAACAAATCTCGATGCTTATCAGAAGGGATAGGTTGAGGATCCCAGGATGTAGGAAGGAAGTGGCAAAAGGAACTGAGGAACTATCTCCCTTCTATCTTAATACATACCATTTTAACCTATATGTGTAGCGGCTCCCTAATATTAACTTTCATATTTTCATTACAAGTTTTAATTTGTTTAATAACTATTTAATTCAAATCTATATATATAAAAATGAATGTATGTGTGTTTGTTTGTTTGTCCTTTATGCCTGACCAAACCACTCATTGGATCGCCATGAAACTTTGGGAAGTTATTTAGTATAGTACTGGGAAGGTTTCTAGCAAATAAAATTTTTGAAATAACTTTTCGCCTAGAAATAATCAAGATAAATATTCTAATTTATCTGTTATAATTCAACAATCTGCTCTAAATATTATCATGATGATACGATGATTTTGTAATGTAGAAAATTAGGAAAGACAAAATTCAGGATGACACGGCAATTTATTTGAGACAAGATAATGATACAATTCCAAGGCAAGATACTATTCCTTTAACTTCCAATTACCGAGGGAACCAATTAATATTGATTTTATTCAACTTATCGAGTATTTTTCAAGGGACCGGGAAAAAATGTTCACTTTATCGAGAGATTCATTAAACAAACCTTTACTCGGGTAAAACCCGGGCGAAGCCGGGGTACATCCATACAAGAATAATGATACAATTCCAAGGCAAGATACTATTTCTTTAACTTCCAATTACCGAGGGAACCAATTAATATTGATTTTATTCAACTTATCGAGTATTTTCAAGGGACCGGGAAAAAAATGTTCACTTTATCGAGAGATTCGTTAGACAAACTTTTACTCTGGTAAAACCCGGGCGTATTAAATAAAATCCGCTAGTATTAAATAAAATATTCATCTTATAAATTATCTACTTATATAATTGCCTTATTCTGTCTGTGTGAAGTTCACGGATAGATTTTGGTCAGAATGGATAAAATAAAAAAAGTGTCAAGGGATGGGAATCGAACCCACGACCAGGCAGATGCCATGACCACTAGGCTACCCTGGACATATTTTTCCGTTCATAAAGTTAATATATGATGCCAATATATATAATAATTTTATATATAATAATAAAGTAATTTTATATATAATATAATTGTATAAATGTTTGAATAAAACATTTAATCAGGTAAACCCGGGCGTTGCCCGGGTCATTCGTCTAGTCTATATATATATATAATTGCATGTCTGTCTGTCTGTCTGTACTCTATAGATTCAAAAACCATACATCCAATCGCCGTGAAAATTTGGGATATTATTAGGTATATCACCGGGAAGGTTTTGAAAAATAATTTCATGAATATCTTGAATATCCTTAGAGTTATTTGCAGATTTGTAGATTTAACTCGCAAGCAGCGCCCCCATTGTGACGATGTAACAAGTTTTCTTATCACTAAGTTTGTTATCTTAAATATTATTTATCAAAAGTAAGATTATCTCAGGATGACACGGCAATTTATTTGAGACAAGAATAATGATACAATTCCAAGGCGAAGATACTATTCCTTTAACTTCCAATTACCGAGGGAACCAATTAAGACAAAAGACAAAATCAGGATGACACGGCACAAAAGACAAAATTCAGGATGACACGGCACACAGGGACCGGGAAAAAATGTTCACTTTATCGAGAGATTCAAATTTACGAGTTTCAAATTATCAAAATATATCTTTTTTTTTAGTAAATTAAATTTTATTGCCATCTATTGTTAAAATTTACACAAATAAATTTACTGGCAATGCGTTTCTTTTAAATATAATCAAATATTATCTCTACAGACCTTACTGCAATGATATGAATTATTGAATGAGAGGGCTTGGCTCATCAGTAGTGAACCCTCTCTTTTTTTTAAATAAGTTTTTAGAGAATTGTTTTAACAAATGTTCGCTAGACAAACCTTTACTCGGGTAAAACCCCGGGCGAAGCCGGGTACGTCCGCTAGTCTATATATATAAAATTGAATGTCTGTCTGTACTGTATTAGATTGCGTCTTGGTATCGTACAAAACCCAAGAAGATCCAACTCTTAGAAAACTATATAAATTAGTCAAGTATGATAAGTATGATATTGACTCAGAGGTAGATATAAAACCTTATAATAGAATTAAAAACGAGATAACAATAGTAAGAAATTGCCTATTTTTCGGAAATAGAATGATCATCCCCGATTCCTTAAGAGAATATGTTTTGAAAATCATTCATGAAAATCATATTGGAATAAATAAAATGAAGACTCTGGCCAGAAGTTCTGTCTATTGGCCGCGAATGGATGAGCAAATTGAAAAACTGCCTAAAAGCTGTAGCATTTGTATGGAAAACACATCAAAGCTGCCAAACCAGGAATTTACTGAGTGGACTCCACCAAACAAAGTTTGGAAGAGGATTCATCTTGACTATTTCTATTTTGCGGGAAAAACTTTTTTGATATTAGTGGATGCGCATTCTAATTGGATAGAATGTCAAATGGTTCCAAATACATCGGCGGGATTCTGCATAGACTTTTTGAGAGAATGTTTAGCGAGATATGGTATCCCGGAGGTGGCGGTAATGGATAATGGGCCCCCGTTTAGAAGTTATGAAATAAAGACATTTTTCGAAAGAAATGGCATACATGCGATGTTTAGCCCCGCTTACCTTCCGGAGAGCAACGGACTAGCGGAAGTGTCTGTAAGAGAGATAAAAAAAGCTATGAAAAGAATTATTTCGGAGGAAAGAGAATTACCCCTTGAGTTTGCTTTGATAAAGGCATTATATGCATATAGATTGAGTCCTTTGACTAGAACGGAAAAAATCCCCTGCTGGAATATTTTTAAATCGCAAGATTAGAACGAAGATTTCCATGTTGAGCAAGAAATCAGTAAGAGTGGGGAGATTGAAAATAAAAAACAGAGCAATAGGTACAAAATAAATGATAGAGTAAGATACAGATGGATGGAAAGAGGAAAACCGAAATGGATGTTTGGGATTGTAAAGAGAATAGTAGGAAGCAACAGCTGTATGATAGAAACTGATGGAATTGAAAAGAAAGTACACACCAACTATATGAGGAGAAGTATGGAGAGAAAGGATGTTTCATCATCAGAAGAAGGAATAAGCTACCCAAGGCCTCAGACGTCAAGTCCCCTGACTCCTGCTACAATAGTAGCAGAATCTACACCTGGACCACCGACTGAATCTACACCTTCCGGAGTTATCCACTACGAGAGAGACCACCGGATAGATATGTACCTTAATAAGTGTTGCTATCTTAAAAAAGGGGGAGTTGATGTAAATGAACTTATAAATATAATTAAATATTAGTGGTTGAATATTAAATAATAATTGAATATTAATTAATTAATTTATTTATTGGTTTTGACGAAGAAAAAGTAAATTCATTCTGTCAAGAGATATGTAAATTTTGTTCGTGAAATGTTGAGTTTAATTTTGATTGTTAGTTTGTTTGCATGTAAATATTCTTAGAGAAGAGAAATAAACTTCTTTTATTTTATAAGTGCAGATATCTTTCATTTTGTTTAATATAAGTTTCAAGAAAATTATTTAATTAGCAAAATAACAGAATATCATCTACGTACCGTTGTGCTGACAGGGTGCCAAGAATGACTACCAATGGGGTCCTGCTATCAAAGTAAATGGCACCCCAGACCATAACACCCTGTTGTGGACCTGTGTGGTGTTCGACAGTAAGGCCAGAATCCACACGCTGCCCAGGACGTCTCCAGACATATTTGCGACCATCGTCAGGACACAGTAAGAAACGGGACTCGTCACTAAAGTCCCAGTCAGCGCAGTTCCAAGTTGATCGCTCCCGACACCACTGTAGTCGGACTTGTCGGTGCACGGGTGTGAGGGGGTAGGCATTGTAACGGTCGGCGAGCTCTTAGATTCCGCTCTCTCAGTCGCCTGTTGATGGTCATTTTGGACACTTGTGTGCCGGTCACACGTTGGATGGTAGATAACGTGGATTCCGGTGCTGCGACAGCCATTCTGACAATCGCTCTGTCCTCCCGTTCTGTTGTTGCCCTTGGTCGACCGCTGCCGTCCTGACGTTGCATACTTCCGTTGTTGACCCACTTTTGCCAACATCGCCTAATAGCCGCATCACTTCGACACAGATGTCGCGCGATTAGTCGATTAGACCAACCAGCCTCTTTCAATCCAATGGCACGACCAGTTTCAAACTCTGACATATGTTCGTAATGAGCACGAATCTTTCGGCGAGGCATTGATACAGTAGAAATAGGCGTACTGCTAAAATATTAAACGGAAATTATGAAAATCAGCTCGTGCCGCGCCGAATATTGAGTCTAGAATGCTCGTGCTGGATGCGCAGTTCAGATGCGCTGGAGCTCTTGCTTTGCATAAATCGGCCACCAAATTTCAGTCATTTGCATGTTTGGTCGAATCCTCTTTGTATACGTATTTTCATATAAATCGGACAATTGCTCCTTGGTGCATCGATTTTTTTTGTTATACAGGGTGTGTACCAGGTAAATTGGGAATTTCAACAATGGTATTTTAACTGAAATTTTTTGAAAGTAAAAATTTAAAATATCCGAATGAAATTTGACACAGTAGTAGATAAAAGGATATAGTTTTTATTTATTCTCAATGAAGTTTCCATTATTAGCTACAACAGTCTCGAGGCGAGTGCGGAATGAAGCACAGGCCTTGGCGACGATGACCTTGTCCATTTGGGCCATCACCGTGTGAACTGCTTTCTTGACAGACTAGATGGTGGTATGAGGAGCTTTGTTGACATCTCTCTCAACAACGCCCCATACATAGTATTTGAGGGGATTGCAATCTGGAGAATTAGGGGGCCAAATATCAGGACCCCAGTGACTAGGGACGTTAAGTGTCAGCCACGATTGTGTCTTTTTGCCTTATGGGCTGGAGCTGAGTCCTGTTGGAAGACATACTCCCTTCCTGCGGCCACCATGTCCATCCAAGGCTTCACAACGGTCTCCAGAACATTGATTGTAGGTGTCAGCGTTCATCCTAAGGCCCTTCTCAAAGAAATGGGGAGGCATGACATCACCTTCACTGCTGATAACGCCAAGGACCATTACGGAGGCAGGAAATTTCGTGTGCATCACGACAGGTATCTCTGAGGGGTCTTTACAGATCCAGCGATCATTCCTGGGATTTACCTTTTGGTCCACGTCAAAGTTCTTTTCGTCAGAGAAGAACCTTAGCATGCCAAAAGAGTCGTGTTTCAGGTTGTTGAGGGAGGGCAGCAGCCCTTTCCTTTTCTGTTATTCTTCATATTCTCAGTCAGCAACTGACCTTTCCGAAGGGCATAAGACTTGAGACCAAGGGTCCTCATGGATAGTTCTGACAATTGTCATAGAGCCAACGTCCATTTCTTGGCTATGGCCCCTCATGCTCTTCCCAGGGTTTCCATCAATCTTCTCCTTTTCATTTTTGACAAATTCTTCGCCTCTTACCCTGTCCGATCGACGCGAGTGCTTTTTCCTTGTAGCTATCCCCTCTTTGTTACTGTCGGCCTCATCAAACTGCTTCTTGACACGATAAATAGTGGTTTTGGGCAACTTAAGAAAATCCACTATCTCTTTGGGGCTCCTTCCGGCGCGCAGAGCAACGATGATGGCAGCTCGATTTTCAAATTCTCGGTTACTGTTCATCACTACACTGCGCACACATGTACTGTTGCATTTTACATGAATATGGCTACGTAATGAAAAAAAAAAAAACAAGTTTTAATCTCAAGTAGTTTTGTTTTATGGACTGTCAAAGTTAGTCCCAATTTACCTGGTACACCCTGTAGAGTATAGTTGTGTTCACTGACATAGCTAGTGTAAGCCTCAACCACAAGTCAAATATTGACGTATGGAGTGTGTGTGTTGTCAGATGTGAAGGGAGATTGTGGCCCACCAGAACTTCAGATTTATCTTCTGCTATAAAATTACAATAATTGGTTATGTTAGAAATTTTATATAAATTAAAAAGCACAATTTGGATTATAAACTCAAGGTAATAAGAC